TGTGTGTGTGTGTGTGTGTGTGTGTATCTGTCTACATATATTAGGCACTGATTGCTTAAATATTAGCTTATTTACTTCTCATAATGAAAATGGGCCTTGGAAGACTGCTGCTGGAGGAAATAGTAACTGTAAGAAAAAGCACAAGGGATATGCTACATTCCAATTTATACACAAGGAAACTGAGGTACAGAGGAAATTCAATAAATTAAAATTAACCAATTTGCTCGATGTTAAACAGCTATAAAGTTTTGTGCAGCTGGGTTTTATACCAAGGCACTCTTGGCTTCACAATCCACATGCTTGACCACTAAACTGTAGAAGGTGCTGGATGTGACTACCCCTCATAAGGACATAATCAGGTTATGATTGTATTTCTCCTCTTTGCCTTATAGGCATTCCCAGATATTTTTCAATGACTTTCCCAGTGTGACTAGGCCCTGTCTGATTGGCAGTCCCCTTCCCAAACACAGTCCACCTGCCCTAGTTTTTGAGGTATGATCAAGACAGCATTGACACTTGGAAACTTTGGAGATTTTAGGAAACATGGTTAATGCCAAGCTATTCCTATCATTCACTTGCATTGAAGTCAGTTAACATTTACAGGATGTCTGAAGCATTGATAAACATCAGCCTCTTTTGGCCCATCAGAGCATCTTGCAAATACATCAGGCCTCTGCTGGCATTATTTGAGATCCTACCTGAGGTAATGTCAGAATTTAGATTGTTCATCTCAACACTGGATAAAAATGTGGATGTGATTGTAAAGGTAACAGTATGCTTTGGACTTAAAGCATTCAGTCTTTGTTGTTGAGCCAAGAATGACTCTTTCTTCACTGTTGTTTTAGGTGCTCTTCAATTGTTCTGTTTCAGTGAATCCTTAATACCACTGTGGTTAACTTTAAAATTTTTTTTCAAAGTCCAGACAGCTAATCACAAGACTGTTAGTTATATGACTTTTAATTGCAACTAAAATAAAAAATTTAAAAGGAAATAATAAATTTTCAGCACGTATAGTCTTATCTTTCCAGCTGTTGCCCCTTTCCTTGCTAAAGAATTTCATTCCAGGTCATGGGAAAGGAAAGGAAGAATGAGAAATGGGAAAGAGGAACAGCTGTCCAGGACATCATACTGTGGGAAAC